CGATATACGGAAATACATCTGATAGAAATCTTGATCGACTTGAGTCAGCAAAATACAAAGCTGCAAGAGCGGTGTCAGGTGGTATGATGCACAGTTCTAAGGCGCGAATGTTTAGAGATTTAGGATGGGAGCCGTTTCGAGTTGTTTTTAAGCGACACAGATTAGTTTTATTTCAAAACATAGTTACGGGAAAAACACCTTCTTTCTTATTTAAAGAAATTAAATTATTTCAAACTGGTTCGACACAATTTAAAATTCTGTCGTCAAAAACTATTCAATTTAAAAAGTAGTGAGCTTCACGATATTCATAAGATAGGACGAGCACAATTGTAGGTTTCGAAAAAAATGTGGACATGCACTAGGTTTGGCTATATGATGATTGATGCTCATTTGAGAGAAATTGACCATATACATTGTATTTGTATATTATACAAATCGAAGCAACTTGAAGGGTCTATGAAGTAGAAAAGACGACGATATTGAAAACGTCAGATTTTTCGACTTCGGTCTTCAGTCGGAGCGTTCGAACTATTTTCTTCTTATTCAACGTTAAAAGCTGAATTAAAAAAATGATGTTAAATTCACTTTGAAGGTATCAACAATCTGACGTTTTCAACATCGTCGTCTTTTTGAGTACATTCAAGTTGCTTCGATTTGTAGCTAGAAAACGAAAGTTGCGAAAGATTAACCATTATACTTATGTAAGCACTATGTACTCCGTGATTAAGTATGGGTTCCACATTTGTTACAATGTTTGTTTTTATACTTAACTTAGACGAATTAGAAACATAAATATAAATTAAGTTTATAACAGCTGTAATTCATATGTATATCATAACACAAAGTAGAAACAAGCCATAAATATTATTTTTGTTCCTACATTTCGCATTACTTAATTTAGTTGATCAGGTGATCGGGCGAACAAACCACCGGGTCTGACATAATCAATTCGATTATTCATATATCATGGATCTGCCGACAACAGAAACAGAAGTAGATTCTTTAATGAATTTATTATTGAAATGTGTCAAATATTGTGAAACAAATAGTGTCGAACCATACTTATATGTTAAGAAATCCTTTCTGGATTTTATTTGAGCACCAGACCCGACAAACTAGAAAATGAGAGAAGTGTGCAATCAAGTTTTAGTTTTACTTTTACGGTGAAACGTACGAAACAGATAGAACGAGAGTATTTTATTTTTAACTAGAACATTCACAGTAATAGTAGGAATCAGCGGATGAAAAAAAATGAAACACGCTCTTTTTTTATTCAAAATAATGTTTTGTTCTGTCTACACCTTTTTTACTCTGATGACTAAAGCAGTGTGTTTCTCTCTTGTATACGTTTAGAGACAGAATCTGTAACGAGATTGTTATGAAAATCATCATGTTTGTTTTAAGTTTCTTTTTTATGTAAAATTTTTAACATAAATAATTAATATACAAGAAAAATATAAATACTTGCGGTAACACGCTGAAAACTGAAAATACTCTCTCTCTCTGTTTCGCATGCATGGTAATAAAAGTAAAAGGAAAACTTTGTTGCGTGCTTCTCTCATTTTCTAGTCTGTCTCTTAGTTTACTATTTGGTCGAACAGTAATATATCTTCTAATCATGGAAAAACATTCGAAATCGGATCACTTTTTGAAAGCTGCTGGTCATTTGCAAAGTGCAATGTGTATTCTATATCCAGTGATGAGCAACTATGTAAAAAACATTACAAAAACAAAAAATTTATCACAGTCGCAACCTAATTTCAGTGATTTTTCATCCGTTTTATATTTCATTCGTGATAACTTGTATAATTATTGTTCTAAATCGATGATCAAAATAGTAAAGCGATCAATTCATATCCGTAATGTCATTGCTCATCAGAATCAATACAACACTTTAGAAGAGTATGAACATGCTATTGAAACATTAATTCAGTTAGCCTCATTAATTTCGCAGCCTGATGTTGTGGAAGAAATTCGTTCACTCATTCGCACAATTGACAACGATACACTGCCTGCAAGTCCAGATTCATTGAGCGATTCTACTTTTAAATCTAATGTGGCGTGGCAACAACTGAAAGAACAAGGTAATATGTGTTTTAGTAATAAACAATGGACACAAGCAATGAATTTTTATAGTGAAGCGATTCATTTGGATTCAAAACAAGCTGTTCTGTACTCAAACCGTGCATTATGCGAAATTAATTTAAAAAAATATCAACTGGCACGGGAAGACGCAGAAGATGCGATCGATTTAGATAATAAACAAATAAAATATTTTCGTGTTTTATCCGAAGCTTTAATGGGTCTAGAGTTATATTCAGAAGCAAAAGGTATTTGCAACGAAGGTTTAAAGATCAACCCATGTGATGAAATATTACTTGTTCGGTCCCGGGATTGTTCAGCATTCATTGCCATTCAACAAACCGATCAAAATGCACGAATCGATCCCGAAACGTATGCTCAACAAGCAATGAAAATGAGTTTATCGGAACATATGGCCAAATGTAATAATCTTACACCAAAACCGTCAGATGTACGAATTATGACTGATATGAGTGAAATGATGGAAGTTTATCAAACAAATAATATTGTAAATACAGCCCATAAACATCGTGATGGTTTGTTTGGTACGCCGAAAGACGAGCATAAGGCCATGAAACTTTATGATGAAGCGAGTAAACGAGGGAGTGCGGAGGGTTTATATAATTTAAGCTTGTTCTATGAACGAGGATTAGGTGGCCTTGTTCGTGATTTTGTACTTTCATTTGAGTGTATGGAGAAAGCTGCTTTGCAGAAAGCGTACCACAGTGTTATGGGACAAATTTTCCCAAATATTGGGGTGGCTGAAGCAGAAAATGGTCTAGGAAATGTATATCGTCTTGGGAAAGGGAGAGATATTGATTTAAAAAAAGCAGTAAAATGGTATTTAAAATCGGCAGAACATGGTTGTCCTCAAGGTCAGAATAATCTTGGTTTTGTACTTCGCAACGGTTTGGGTATCAAAGAAGATTTACAAACCGCTCGACACTGGTATCAGCAAGCAGCTGAGCAAGGTCTTACTGAAAGTGAATTAAATTATGCCGAATTCTTAGAGGCAGGTTTTGGTGGCCCCGTGGATTTGAAATTAGCTGAAGTTTACTATAAGAAAGCAGCAAAACAGGGTCAACCACGAGCAATGAAAGGTCTGCAAGATCTTGAGAGAAGTATGAGTACTACATCTACCAAAGCTAAGAAGTGTTTATCTACCCAAATAAGTAGTAAAGATCCGCATGCTCTTTTCCTGCTTGGATCTAATTATCACACGGGACAAGGTGGTGTGGAGAAAAGTCTTTTTCTGGCTGAGCAATACTGGAAAACAGCTGCTGAATTAGGACATGCTGAGCTGAACTCACCCTCGGTCAGATGTTAATAGACGAATTAAAACGGAACAAAGACGGATTTGATTTCATACGTCGAGCAGCTGAAAATCAAAATTTCTGCTGAAAAAGGATCTGGCATAGCTCAAGGACGTTTGAGTCAGTTGTTTGCTTTTGGTCACGGGTGTTTGAGAGATGAAAAACAAGCAGCACGTTGGGCACAACGTGCTACATGTCAAGGTGTTCGCTTAATGTTCAAATATGTCAGAGACGCTGAACCAAAAAAGATTAATATTGAAGGCTTAATCAGATGTGGGAAAGAAATTTGTGACTTTGAATCAACGTTAGATTTATCTACTGAAGGCGTAACTATTCACGAACGCTTTGAACGTCTTCTTCGATCACTTTTCAAAGGTTCGCAAAAAGGAATGGAACTGGTGAGCAATTTTTCTACATTGAATTCTTTTTTGCTTGCCCCGGCTCCTAGTCATATAGCACCGTTACCTTCCACTGATAAGTGGTTGCCTGAATTGCCTAAACGAGCAGCCCAAGGATCTGTTACAGCGCGTAATATTCTTCAAGCATTTGACATTGTGATGAATGCAAAACGATATCTATCCACTGGACAAGTAGACGATGCTCTTTGCCTATTTCGAGAAGCATTTCGTTACCATGACCGCGTAATACCTGATTTATCCACTTTTTTATCCGCTGCGGAGGAGAAACTAAAAGAAAATCCAAACAATTCTAATGCTATGTATGTTGTTGCACGTAAATTTAACCGTAGTACCTTAGAACAAGTTAAATATCTTGAACGTTGCGTAGAACTACATCCATTAGAAGCTGATTTTCATCAACTGTTGGCTTGTTGTTATGGATTTGCTGGTGACTCACAGTGGGCATTTTTTGCTAGAGCAAGCGGACTTTAGCTTTATGAGTGAACTAAAATTTCATGAACCATCTATACGAAAACCTTGATTGTTCTGCCACCGTCTT